TGTAGAACCAGAGAAGTTAATTACTTGTCCATGTCCTGATGCATGCTGCTAATATTGAGTGTGGACACAATCCTTCAATGCCAGACTTCACAGATCTCGCTGAAGTCAGAACACAGCCACAGCCATAAATGTAACACCCAATTTTCAGGGAGGATGTGAATGTGGAAAAGAGTTTGGGAAATTCTTCTATGAGGATGCCTTCGAATCTCTGCAGAGAACACTTTCTATAGCTTCCAGGACTGGGATGTGGCACAAGGGCATTCCTTCATCTCCAGGTCTATCCAGTGTGGCCAAGGCTGCTAAGCCCATCCCTTTCCTTCAGACATACACAGCAGGAAACTCCCCCTTCTGCCACTGGACTATACAAGAAAGGGGAGGGAAAGAGAAGAAAAAAAAAAAACAACAGTCTTCTGCCACCATTTTAGAGAAAAGGAATTAATCAGCTGCTCTCCTATCTGACATCCAAATGGAAAAGGCAAAGACAAGGCTGTTTCCTCACCGCATTAGACATAAGAGGAAGCAAGACAGGAAGAGGGCAGGAAGCAGCCAACAAAAGGTAAGAGGAGACGCTAAACTTTCCCATGTCCTAATGCTGTTGCATTTGAATCTTAATTCTTAGAAACCTACAATCCAGCTGTGTAAAAAGGACTTTGAGAAAGCAGAGAGGGGGGAGGTAGTGTGTGCTTTCTCAAGAGAAGTACATATTTTGCTTTGTTTTGTATCTGCATACTTCATCCAAAGTGTTACACAATACAAAGCTTTATATAGCTATATGAGAACACACACTCCCCACACATACAGGGAAAAATCCCAAACACCAAAACCTGTTCACATAAAAAAAACTCACAGAAGTTTAACAGGACTCTAATGCAGACTGTTGATGAGGCACCACAACAGCAGCAAAATCATGCATTAGAAAATATTCCTTGCTTAGTTGTGAGAGAACAGCTTTTCCAAGACAATTCTGTGTAACTCCATGCCTCAAATTCACTAACTTTTCCCAGATAGCAACAGCTGCTGCAGGACTCCTTTGGCAAATGCTGTATCTCGGACCTTTTCTTAGTATGCTGTGATTTCCTGTGGAAAGGCGAAATCATCTAAGCTACGAAGAGGAGCAGTACTAACACTTTCAGAAGTAAATAATTTTACAACAACATACAGTACAGAGAGAAATATAATAATTGGGCAGAGACATTTCTGAGCAGAGAGAGATCAAAAAAACATTCTGAGCAAGAAAAACCATTGAAGCTTGTATTTTTTTTATTCAGTGCAAAAAATGTTGGGTAACTGCTTGCTGTTCCTAGAAAGAATGGAATTCTGTTGCCAACAGCTGTAGTTTTTCATAGGAATTATAATACTAGATTGAAGATTTATGTTCCTGACAAAGGCATAAAGTTATCCAAACTAGGGCAGAAAAAAACAGAATAATCTTTTCCCAATGAAACAGACCCACATTATTTTTGTTAACCCTTACCATGGCAGAAGTTTTGATCTTCGAAACCAGGAACTCATGCTGTGGTTGAGGTTTATAGCGATTAAGTCTTGCAATGGACAGGGTGAACTGTTTTATCATAGGTTCTTAGACAAGTAAGAAACACAGTTTATCATCGTGAAATAAAAGTCACAGATACTTACCTCCAAAAAGACACAGCTTTAAGTTTTCTTCTTGAAATTTTGGGGTTTGACAATGATGCCTTTCCCTGCTTTAAGAAAAGCCTTCCCCAGAGTTCTGGCCATCGGACAGATCCATATGAGATTGGAGAAAGGTGACCCTAGGCAAAAGACTGTCTTGTGCATAAAGTAAATAAGGAAGCGGAAGGAATCTTGGGTCTCTTTGCTGCAATTGCACAGATGCGAGTGGCTCCAGCTGCCTGCATGTCGCTCTCCTGGTTCCCATGGAAAAACTATTCCTCATGCTCTGCAGGATTAGGGTATTCTGTGTTCCTTGGAACTACAGCAGATAGCAGTATACAGAATACTTTTAAGTAACGTTCAGCAACAGGACTCAGGATATCGCACGTTTTAAAGTGCAATTACTTATACGTAGCCAAACAGCACACTCTGGATTGAATTCTGAGCCAATTTACCTTTACATTCTATGCTGCTCCACGAACATTACACCAAGTTACACAAGTTAGGAATCAATAAATACATTTCCTCAGAAGGATTTGCCCAAAGGCTCCCAGTGAGTCAGTGGCAGCGTCTTGTTTAGGTCTCAGACTTTGTCTTCCATTTCGCAGCTGCTTGGTCCATCAGATCTGTTTACACTACATCACCAAAAATGTTTTTATGTCTGTCCTTCTGAAATCCCTGTTTGTTTCATTCAGTTGGTTTGTTGTTTGGGGTTTTTCTGTTCTGGGTTTGGGGGTTGGTTTTTTTTTTACTAGGGGAAGAAAACAAATTAAAAGCTTCTCAACAATTACAGTTGTGATTTTTTTTTTTTTAACTGGGAACCAACAAACTGTATTTCTCAGCTGAAGCAAAGATAGAAAGCCTGATCTCTTTGAAAGAAAGCATGATCTCTTTGAACAAAATACACAATAATCCAAAGGTCTGCATATAAAAATCACTATGCACGCGCCAGTTTTCACATTCAGATACAGCAAACCTAATAGTCTACTTTTACTGACTTTAAAAGTCTTATGTTTAGCCAGTGAGAAGTGAAAGACTACAAAATAAAACCTTCCTTCACAGAACAACTTGCCATGAGTCCTTAGTCCTGCAAAAACTGTGGATATTTTGCTTGAGTAAACAGAATTTTAATTGAGCATAAACAAGTGAACAGCAGGCATGCCATTTCCATAAATATGCATGATCCAATGGAAAAAAATAAAAAAGACTTAAAAATCTGGGGCCTTAAAACCTACTTTAATTTTGAAGTTTTAGGGTCTAAGAAAAAGGTAAAGTGTGTGTGGCAGGCTTCTTTCAATACAAATGGATTCTTGAAAAGAAATTGACATTGACGAATCACCATTTGTAAGAACTGTTTCAAACAGGGCAGAAGTTATCTAGCATGGCACTAAGGAACATATTTAATTTAAAGTATTCCTATAGTTTCGTTAGAGCCAATGTCTTTTTCCATGCTTAAGGCCAAGCATTTGCTCAAGTATTCTGCCTAGACAAAAGCTTACAAGTTTGTTGTTTAGAATGTAAAGCGAGGCTTTTTATCCCAAACCACATTTCCTTGCATGTAATCAGCACTGATGATGCAGCCGTAGTTTCCAATTCATTCCAGGGTGCACTCAGCATTTATTAGGGCACAGATGGTGCTCTCTTTCTTTGGCTTCTAAAGAACATGCCTAAATATATAGAAAAGAAAAAAAACCCTCGGCGAGCTGCCTCTTACCCTGCTCTTACACTCTGGGTTGCCACAGTAAACATAACAGTAATCTTTGATCTAATCTGGAAGCCTCTTCTAATTTACACACAAAATTTGGCAATAGGATTATCAAGTACAGTCAGCCCACTCGAAACCAGAGAACCTGATAGACATAAATCCAGCACATTAGCCACAAGCGATCAAGAACAAGAACAAGTAATCCACACAACAATCAAAAGAACAAAACTCAGAAGCATTTTTTCTAGTAACAAACTAATACTCCATGGCTGTATTTGCTTTTCTAGAACTGTAAGGATTATTCAACAGCTTAACCAGCAATTAGCAAATGAGCAGCTTGATTTGTAAGGCAAATAAAGAGCATTAGCATGACAAGATTTGTCATAACAGCCTGCAAGGTCTTTTCCAGAACACACAAGTTTGCATTGTGCTGAGATCTTGCAGTATTTTCCCGTATGGGCAGCACAGGACATTTATCTCTCAAACTCTGAAAATTATTTACCTGTTGCCAAGCAAGCATAAAGCTTCCTCCATAGAGATGCAACAGGAAGAGAAGCTGTCACGATAGCCCACTAAAAATGTCCTAAGGTAGGATAATGTCAGATTTGTCCAGCAGATCTTGACAAAATGTTCCTGAACATGCAGCTGAGACACAGGCGATGGTCAGTGGGTCTCAGTCACCCACCTTCACAGGCTTTCAGTGCCACACAAGGCACATTGACACTGGAAAACCACATGTCCATGTGCATCAAAAAGCGTATGACCAAACTCAAATGGCAGCAGGTGGCAGGCTTGGAGAAAGGCTATTCAGACTGCTTGGAAATCTTGTTCCCAAGTGAGGACTATTTTGCTATCTCAGTGGTAACATGAGGTTAGCAGCCAGGGCATGCTGCCGAGTCTAGGGCAAGAAACGTGCGTTTTAAGCAGTCGCCTTTATTCCAAAACAGCCCAACAACTGCACGCACAGATTGGTAAAGAAATCACTTCTGAACAAACATCAAATCGGGAAAACTAGTTTTAGAAGTACATGTAAATGTCAGAAAGCCAGAGATTTGACTAAATTAGATTATATAACACCTACTAAATTGGTTAGCTCCTAAATTTGCTGTACAACCAAGCAATGGCTAGTAATTTTGGAAGTAATGATCCTAGGTATTTGCAATGTGTTAAACATAATAAATTAAATAAATCTAAATTAGCATATAGTACTAAATCAAAGCAACATTAAAATCATAATAAAAGTAAGTAAATAAAAATTCTGATCATATGAACAATCCAGAAACAAGCCACTGTACAGCAAATACTTAAACAAGCAATAGCCAGGTGTGGATGGTGAAAAGTCTGTTCTGCAGCTAGTCAAAACTACCTAGTCTGTTCACTCTGAGGTAATGGAGTCTGTGTCCTCCTACATCACAGCCTCTCTCAAGGCAGCCTCTCCTGTTATCTCCTGGTCTCCTGAAGCTCAGCCTTGCTCACTCCCCAAACTTTGCAATACTTCCTGGTGTTAAGCTGACTTCCAGGAATGCAGTTTGTCCCCTTTTCTCAGTATCATGCTCCATATCCACACACCACATAACTTGAAGTTACTGGTACCTCCAATACTTTCAAAATCACATCTTGAGAACAAGCTTCAAACTATCAGTAAAAATAATTCTGGCCTTACCCGCAGGATCTTGGACTGTTATTTCTTTACGCTTCATCACCAGCTTGTCTTTAACCCATGGGAACTCCTGCAAAGAATCCAAGAATGCATCAAAAGCCTTGGGTCCTCTGGTGGGGAGAATATCAAGGAGCATCATAGTTTTCCTCTGACTGGTGGTTTGGGCTTTTATTTCTTGAACATGACTGTCCATGAGAATCCCTTCTTGGTAGAGATACTGAATAACAACTCCATCCACCAGCACCTCTGTGCAGAGCTCCAGGCGCAGGGAGCGCAAAAGCTGCTTGTCTCTGGCATCCATCTGGCAACCTAGAGCATGAGAAAAGGAGTAAGGAAATGCATGAAGGTGAAAATACTTCCAACCTTTAATATCCAGAAGTGATGTTTAATATCTGGCAACCTTTAGAAAGAATGCCAAACTCAGAATCATCAACCTGGGAAAACCATTAATGATCCCCACCATCTTATTTCTGCTCAGATTTCACCATCTCACAAGCTAAAATTCAGCCATTTCTAGGAAGTGTGAGATAAGAAGAGAACTTTTGGCACCGTGAAGACCAGTCCTTTGTTGTAATAAAAAACATACCAAATAACCCCACTTACTAAGTGGTCAAGGTCCATACAAAGGGCAGCTACAGTATTTGACAGTCCTTAAGAGACTACCCAAAAAAGGTTAAGAGAGATGTCACACCTGACCTCTGTTACTTGTGGCTCTAATGCTATTCCTGTTACAACAGTGCCAGACATCATCAGCAGAGACAGTCAGCAGGTAGCTTTGGCCTACGTAATGCATTTTAATTTCAGGAGAGGTAAAAATGTCCCTTACGCACCAGGTCATTCTTCCCCCTGACTCATCCAGGAAGGCTGTTCTGGAACAAGACTGATCTGATGATGAGAAATTTTCTCTGAATTTCCACCTCAAATTTATCCACCTTCTATTTATAAGCATTTGTCCTGCCAAAACTGTTCTTTAGCTTAAGTAGCTCTTCTCCCCCCCTGGTATTTACCCTTCTAATGTCTTCACAAGAAGCAATCCGATGCCTTCTGCCAGCTTCCATTTCTCTTGACTAACACACTGACTAGCCAAAAGCTGAAAAAGATGCATTTTATAGCCACTATATATAAGAGCAAGCAAGCTCCAGAGAGAACAAACAGCTCACTCAAGACCATGCCTGGAGTCCATGCCAGACCTATGAACTGAATCAAGATGTCTAGTCCAGTCCTTAACGACAAACATATCCCTAGGCTCACTAATGGCACTTGAAAAGGAAAATGACAGAGTAACACAATTAAATACTTTCTGATTACTAAATAATGAAGTAAAAAAACTGCAGCAGGTGTTGAGTGTGATTACCAAGAGAGTTTCTGATTATTAAAATAAAAGCTGCTGTTTGAACAGCTAGACCATGCAGAAACGGCACTTCATTCAGCCCAAGGATACAAGGAGAGGCAGAGATTTTCACAGCTTCTGTAAGACACCTCCTGAAGCCTTTGTATCATCAGAGGCGCTGACTGACTCCTAAGGCCCCATCAAAGGTTGGTTGGTTGGCCTGGTTGTTGAAATCTGAAGTAGGCAACCAACAGAACATAGAGGCATGTAACCAGCATCTTGCACAGGATGCAAGAGCACAGGACCACAAAAGGGGGAATGGAAAACCCTCTGATAAAGACACTTTACAAAAACACTTCCCCTGAGTGCTGAAACATTGCTGGACGGCACCTAGTAAGTTTCTCATATACCAGAGTGAATTTTGAGGTGCCTACCACGTGTCTAGGGGTCACTTGGGAATCAATCAAAAGCTATCCAGGCACATGTCCTTAAAAAATGCTGGTTTGCTAAGTACTGCTCAAACATCAATACCATCACAGAGTGAGATGAGATGGCTGCAAGCAAGGAGACAGAAAAAAGAGCAGGCAAGAACTGTATTTTCCCATTTCATACAATCACAGAATGGTTTGGGTTGGAAGGGTCCTTAACAACCATTCAGTTCCAACACCCCCTACAGGCAGGGACACCTTCCACTAGACCAGGCTGCTCCAAGCCCTGTCCAGCCTGGCCTTGAACACTGCCAGGGATGGGGCAGCCACAGCTTTTCTGGGCAACCTGTGACAGTGCCTCATCACCCTCATAATGAAGAATTTCTTCCTAATATCCAATCTAAATCTCCCCTCTTTCTGCTTAAAGCCCTTCCCCCTTGTCCTGTCACATGCCCTTGCAAAAAGTCCCTCTCAAAGATTTCTTCTAGGCCCTTTTAGCTACTAGAAGGCTGGTACAAGGTCTCCCTGGAGCCTTCTGCAGACTGAACATTCCCAGTTCTCCCAGACTGTCTTCACAGGAGAGGTGCTCCAGCCCTCTGAGAATCATTATTTGGTGTTGGGATGCTCATTTTGGACAGATGAAGCTGAAGATTCTGTAACGCACTACATTTACATTACTGTGAGCAATCACTCAACTAAAGCAAAATTCAGGCAGCAGGTCCCCACCATTTCTCCCTTCAGGGATTCCCTGACTGCCCCTGAGCTCCCAAAGCACTTGCAGAGTTCAAGGCAGGCTCCCAGCAGCAGCTCCGAGGGCATTATCTCAACCCTGACAGTAAACTGTTTCAGCTGCTATGAGGCTCTTGTACTTCACATTCTCATGGGTCACTGAGAATGCCCATTCAGAAGCTTCCTCACCCATGTGCCAGATGAGGAATACTGACTTCTCCAGTCACTGTACAGCACGTGATGAGCTCCTCTTCTTCATGACCAAAGAGGTCAACACTTTTCAAAAGAAGGCCCGTTCAAACCATCTCCATTTGCATCTTGAGGCACTAGAAAATACCTATCAAGCCACGGATCTGAAGGGGTAATTTCTGCTGAAACAGGCCTCTGGCTCGCTGACTGCAGAGTGAGCGCAGCTGAGGTTTTAAAGCCCTTAACACCAAGGTCATTGGCCCAGTAAATTTCCAGGATGGAGTGTACTGATTTTTAAAGATTTTTTTTTTTCAAGTCTTTTTAAAGATTAAGCATTTCTTTGTGTGTGTGTTTACAGTGAGAAGGAAATGTGAGTCAGGCACTAAGCAGCCAGATATGGAAATCTATCAGGATTTTGGTGCATAACAGCATAGGGACAGAGTTCAGCACAACATGGGATTAATTTCAATTAATTTTAATCACAGCCTATATCTAGGAACCCAAAGTAAGCTCTAAACTGAATTTTCTCTAGTAATGCTGGTGCTAAAGTAAAAAGATGACATGTCTGTTTACCCAAAACACGTCTCAAACCTTACCCAGGCCCTTCTAAAAATAAGTATCTTTCATTGTAGAGACAAACTTGAACCAATATACACCCACCCCACACCCCCGCTGAACGAGCACAGTCTTTGACTCATCACCACACCAACACAGGCAGGTCTGCATTTTTCCGCATCTGACAGAGAATCTGTCCACGAACAGGGATAAAACTTTCTAAAGCCTTGACCCTAAAGAGACCCCTTCTGATCCTAAATAGCACATTCCCTTAGTTCTTGGCTAGAAACATTGGCATCTGCCCAAACTACAACTGCACCGGGCTGCTCATGACTTCGAGCGCGTTCCCTTGCGCCGGCTTTGCCACGACTAAGGTCCCTCTGCCTAACCAATGGGTGCGTTTGGCTACAGGCTAAACACCTCCCTCCAAGAAGATCAAGTTTTGCTTTCAACTTCTTCTCCGTGGCCGAGGTCTGGCAGCTGCCGCTCCTGCAGCGCCCAGGGCCCGGCTGCCCGACCTCCCGGTCCCCGCGCCCCGAGCCTCCCGCCGCGGCCCCAAGGCAGGCAACACCACCACAGCCCTCCCCGTGCTTTCCCTCCGCCCTCCTGCCGGGTACAGCGGCTGCAGCAGGGGCGGGCGCTCCCGCCGGCCCGCGGCCCCCGCCGGCCCGGCCCGCCCCGGCGAAGCCCGGCCCCACAGTGCCGGAGCCACCGCCGTACGGCCCCTCGGCACCGCTCGGGCTGACGCCTTTACTCCTGCTGTCCCCTCGGCGGCGCCCGGGGCAGCGGGAGGGGAGGACGGGCCGAGCCGAGCCGAGCGGGACCGCCAGTACCGCACCGCCAAGCAGGCGGAAGACAGAGCGTTCGGGGCGGCGAGTGCTGTGAGGGGAGAGCATCCTCGACCCGTACTTACAAGAGGGAAGTGGGGAACTACACGGGGTACCCCAGCCCCCGCGAAGCCTGCGCGGGGAGCACCATCTTTGTTGAAGGCAAGAGGGCTTCGCCGGAAGCCGCCGCCACCGCCCTGCTGCGGGCCGGCCGAGGAAGGGCCGCAGCTGCCGGCCCCGCTGAGGACGGGGCGGGGAAGGGGGGTGCAGCGGCCGCCATGTCAGCTGTGGGCAGCGGGGCAGGGACGCGAGGCCGCGTCTTTCCCCTCCTCCCGGCCGGGAAGGTGGGCCTCGGGCGGGAGGCCTGCGGAGGGAAGGGCTGGGCCTTAGGGTTCGGGAGTGCGGTGTAAGCTCCAGTCGGGCGCGGGGAGCAGACCGCAGGCAGCGTTGGCCGCCGGCGCTCAGCCTGCCCTATGTGAGCCCGAATGCGGGAGGAGCGGATCCCTTCCGCGGGTTGCTGCCGCCACCGGTGTGTGTGTGTCTGTGTCTGTGTGTGTCTGTCTCTGTCTGTGTGTGTGTGTGTTTCCGCCAAGGGGGCTCCTTTGTAGGGGTTTGGAGGAGCTGCAGTAGGCTCAGCATGTGGGTGGGTGGTTCGGGCTGTTGTTTGTTTAGTGAGTGTATCTAAAATTAAATTAGAAATTACTAAACCCCCGAGTTTTCGTGACATTAGAAACTGCTGATTTCATTACTCTATAGGGACGTCACTTCCTAACTGCATGTATGTGCTAAACGAGACTTCATACAGGTGTTGGTACCGTCATATCACACACACAGCAATGTTATATCGAATGCTGTATGTATTTAGCTCCATTACTTTAATCTGAACAACCTTAAAAATGAAGAAACTTTCACCGATGAAAACTGTGTAGTAAAGTAATATCCAGCTTGTGACTACCGCAGTGCTGTGGGCATGAGTGCACGTTCTTGTAGATTTATCCATCTACTATTGAATACAAAAAACATCTTTTGCTCATCCTTTTATATGAATATTTGAAACCAAAGTACTGTAGATGAGTGAAAACTGTGATTCATAGAGCTGTAACAGCGAGGTGGAGTCATTTCCTATCGTATCATCGAAGAACTTTTCTCGATCCTCACATAGGTGTTGAGTGGCACATGGGCTTGAGCAGTGTCAGCCCTTTCCTTTCCTGTCTGGATCGCGGTAACAATAAGAGGGAAAAGCAAACCCCAAGGTCCTGCAGTGATGGAACATGCTACTTCATAGCTGCAGGCAGCACCAGCGAGCCAGCTGTGGTCTGCTCCGCAGGCGAATGCTTCTCCTCTGGAAAAGCCGGAAAGGTGGTTGCTGCAGCTGCTGCTAGAAGTGTTGCCACCGTGTGAATCCCATTTGTACAGTCACTTCAGACTAACGGTACAGATTTGGGAAGATTTAAGGGTATTTGGAGGTTAGCTATGGAAACCTTTACATGCCTTCCCTAGATACCATACGCGGGAAATACTTTCCATGGAAAAATGTTAACTGAAAGTATCGCTGGTAGAGCTTACATACTGCATATGCTTAATATGGTGTTTATCTACAAGATTCTGCATGAAGACACACACTTAGTCATATTCAGGGAGCTTAGATCCTTTTATTTTCCTGTGGCTGACAGCAGAGTGGAGAATTTATGTGGGTGCAGAATGTAACAGTGCAGTCTTAAGAGCAAAGCTGGATTTAAGAAACAAAAAAAAACCCACCCCAAAACCATTTAGTATGTGGCCAGCTTCTTCAGAAATGCTACTTATTTGGCAATTTTAAATCAATATTTTTATTTAATCAACATAATGCTTTATCTAGGATTATTTCCAGGCAATAAATTTGATACAAGGGGTTTAAATTGCTTTTGAATAATTGATAAATAATATTCCAATACATCTGTTAAACCAAGGCAAATGTTGATTTTTTCCTCAGGCACACACGTTAGCCTTCTAGGAACACAGACATAAAATTAAATACTCCTATGGGTTGTTTCAGGTCGATGCATTAGCATATTTACTATGACCTTGACGGCACTGGAAACCACACAAGTAACTCATGATCGGTAACTCTAAGACATGAAGTATGCTGTTGTTGCAGCAGCCAAAGCACAGCTGAGGCGGTTTTACACTGTCATGTCACGGATAGTTTTGTAGTACCAGTTGTGAGAAAGTACATTTGTAAACAATGCAAACAGGCACTAGGGAGCAGAGAGAACCAGAGACCTTCTTATATGATCATTCCTCAGCGCAGCACTGCACAGCTGCGGGGAGTTTCCTTTCTGTGCTTCCTCTGTTGCTGATTGCCAGCTTTTTTTTTCTTTTTCAGTCACAATCTAAGCAACTGTATTTTATCTGGTATTGGAACGGCTAGACTTGGAGACTTAAAAATATCACATCATTGTAATCCTGACAGCTGCATTTAATTGCAGATGATGTGCCTACGTTTTAAAATAGAAAATGAAGACAAGCAGTTACATCACATTTTTTGCCAGGTGAGGCAACTAGGTTTATTTAGTTTATACTGTCCAAGAATATCTTTGAAAGTTAGCAAAATGTATGGATATGGACAGAGCAGCTCTGGTTCCCACTGGAGTAAATGGCAGCAATATTGCAGCCTGTGTTTAGTCACGTCTTTGCTTACAGTCTAAATAAAAGAAGGAAAGCAGTGTAAGGGAACTGATAAGCCTGGTAAGGCAGAGGGTGGATGACAGCAGAGGTCCAAGTCTGATTAAAGGGAAAATGTGTTTCCTTTTCCTTCCACTGTTTTATACCTAGTGCTGCAAATTCCCTCGTGGAAACTGTAAATGCGCTGCTGATGTTTTGGATTCATGTTCGGCTGAACACCCCAGGTGCTGATGGTACTCTGCACTTACAGAATAAGGACGCACACAGGTAGTACTTGAAGTCCAAGGAGAGAAGCCCTTAAACCCTTTATTGTGATTCTGTTTGGGTTCAGCCCTAGCTGAAGTTCTTCCAGTTCAGTTCTGGTCTGAGTTCAACAAAATTTCAGGAGGATGGTTCAGTTCTATTCTAGGTTTAGGGACAGACATGTATAATTGAGCCATTTTAGGTTCAGCTCAGCTCCCCACAGTCAGTCCCACACATCAGTATCATCAGACTTTTTTAGACTTAAAATGTTGCGCTCTCTGGTTCTGTGGACTGGGGAAGCACCAGTGGTCTCCAGGCCACACTTTTGAGGACCACTGAATTCAGGGTATCAAGTCCAGATCTGTGGGAACCAAGTGAAGCAGCATCTCTTCTGACAAAGCTCTTCTCTTTACATATGGGTTATTCCAGGTCAGATTTTAAAATTTAAAATACAGTTATAAAGCTCACTTAAAAGTCCAAAATCTTTTTAGAAACTCTGTACAAGTATAATGAGAATAAAACCCGACCAAAACCCCAAAACTTTTGAGAGGATCTTTAATGCTAATTAGAGTCAAACTGTATCCTAGAATGTATGTATTTTCTTTGTTTTCTACAGACTAATTTGTTTCTGCTGATAACAAGAGCCAAAATGTGTTTTTAAAACTAGTGCAAGCAGATTTAATCTATTAGGACTATGCTGTTTTCAATTGTCTGTAGGACAGCGTTCCAACTTTAAGGACAAAAGAAAAGAAATATGAGCCTCTAGATTTGTTTATTAAAAACACATCTAATTGGTTAAATCTCTCACAAAACCTCTGAAATGAAGATGGAAAACAAAAAAAAAAGAAACTTATTATATGGTTGCTTGTCATTTTTAGAAAAAGAAGCACAAAAAATATTTCTGAGTGTGATGCATCTCAAAAACACTTTAAAATACAAGTCAGGCTGGCCCAAGTGGTGGCCTGAAGACCAGATGAGGGTCTTGCAAGCCATTGCTATCCGCTGCTGTCTCAAGCAATCATCCTTTCCTCCCTGCCCTCTTCCTCCTCACCCAGGTCCCCCCTGCACACCCCTTTGCAAGCGTGGCCTCCCTAATGCCAACACCCAGATTTCTGTGCCAGCCTCTGAAAAACAGGTGGATGCCAAGAAAGGAAGGCTTTGGTATGGAAAGGTTGCCCTACCTGTAAACCAAGCTTTGGCGTGCTGCTCTGGGTGCCTGCAGGGTTCGAGGGTGCTGGGCTGCAGGATGGGAGTGCCTGTCACTCTTCAGGTGTCATCTGCAACTCCAACAGGGATTCCTTATCACTCCTGGGAAAAGGCGGCAGGCAGAACTGAAGTGAATCATTGAAGGGGAGTAGCCCCTGGGCTGCCTCTTAGGTTGTTCTGATACTTTGTAACTTTCTATTCACATAAATAATAAAGGCTTTAAATTAAGTGGGGTTTGAAGAGAAGAGAGCAATGAATATAAAATGTAGGTGATACGTCATGAAGTTCTTTAGAAGTATGATTTTATTAAAAGACATGTCCAGCATGGAGGTAAAATACATCGCAAAGAGTTTCAAAACATCTTAAACCATGGAGTGTGAAGTGACTGTGTAGTGTCTATACATTTACATTTGTTTCAGTAATAAAAACAAGTGTTTATTAGCAGTGCTGCAGTGAATTAAGTCTTAATGCTGTTTACTTTGATGCAAGTAATCTGTAGCCAAAAGTTGAATGCAGAATAGTTACAAGAAAAAAGAGCAGGCATCGAAGACAGGCATCAAATGTGAAACTTTTGTATTCAGTCCAGAAAAAAAGCAAAAAGAATCTCTGCAATGAATTGCAATCAGCCCCCTGCAATTAATATTTGCAAAATGTGACTCAGTATTTCTCAGAATTTTTAGTCCATTTTCACTAAATACATGAACTAACATAGTTGTTCTTGAAGTTTAATGTAAAGATGCTTTGAGGAGACAGATGAAACACTGCAAGCCTCTGCATATTTATTCCAGACTTATGAAACTGGTTTTTTTATATGTAAAACAACCGTTTTAAATGTGAGAACAAACAAAGAAAATTCACAGATTAGCCTGAAAATCAAACATTGACAAGTAAGTAAAAGGAATTTAAGATTCAAGGTTGAAACCTTTTCACAAAACCAAATTATTTTGTTTGCAAATCACAGCACATGAAATGGTTGTCTAGCATTTTAGATAAAAGACTGGAAGTTTGGTTTTATTTAGGAGAGTAACTGTTGCTTTTTGTAATCTTCTGTTTCTTTCTCAGGCTTTGAACTTGACAAGTTATATACATACATATATGTGTGTATGTATATATGTACAAATTATATATACAGTACTTATATTTTCAAAGGTTCTTACTTTCAGGTGAAGCATTTCAGGAGCAGATAATGGCTCATGGAAAGTTTTGACAGGTAGCCTAGCAAGAGATTTGCCACTGCTTATACTTTTCCCATACATCCTGTTTTTAAACAAAAAAGAACTCACCTTCAATTAAAAATTCACTTACTGTATTTTGTTCCCTTTCAAAATGAAACTTGCCCCCATGAATGGTTATAGTGGGGCTGGTTCAGCAGCCTGCAGTAGGCACTGCGTCCTCCACCAAGGGAGTTAAACACATGAATTGTGCCAGAAGACACAGGAATTGCACAGGCAGTTTCCCTTGCAGACAACATGCGGCTGAAGCACTTCAGCTCGCACAGGAGCTGTGGTGCCACTTCCCCTGCAAGCTAGTCAGACGAGAATCTCACCTTCCTAACTTTCTTCTTTCTTTCTAGCAATGCAGCCAGTCAGAGGTACTCCATCACTGCAGCTAAATTTCCTGTCAATGTCAATTGAAATATGAGTGACTTTTCACCCCACACTGATAAGTTACAAAATGTCAAGTCTATTTTACAGATGAGTAAATTGCAGCTGATACAGGCTCAGTCTTGTTTAGTATTTCTCTTCCTAAAAGAAAATGAACCAGCTGAAAACCCCATAAATGGTAAGTTGATGCACAACTTACTCTGTCCTCCAGACTGCGTCAAGCTGCACACTAGGTAAGAAAAAAGCCAATGTGTGACATGTCATACAGGTGTCCAGCGCAATCCCTCAAATTTGGAGGTGCCCCCTGAGACAAACCAGGTGTGGGCACAGAGGCTCAGCAGAACAGGACTGCAATGTAAAAGAGGTACAATTACATTGTAACAAAGCATTTTGAAAAGGGATTTTACAGCCTTCAACTATCAGTCTTACAATTGTTTCTTATATAATGCTTGCTATCAACCCTGATCCAAATAATCTCAATAAAGTCAAAAGAAGAATTTGGGGCTTTGAATCTTTTTCCACATTTTACATACCTCTGCATTTACTATTTGTTAACTGACTTTGCACCAAGTTGCAGTCCTCAGCTATGAAACATCAGTTATGGAACAATTTGACTGAAAACAAAAGGATTTACTTATGCAAACCCTGCTTGCCAGTGAAAGAAAAATTAAGGCAGGAACATGGAATTTTTAGAGTTTGTTTTCAAATTTTGTTCTTTGCAGCATTCAGCACTGAACTTCCCCAGGGTATTATCTGTTTGAACTTTCTCCTGCTAAATGCCAGCTTGTTCATTATGCTAGTATAAACAGCTTTTGCTCCTCCATTTTATTCCTCCTTTATACCATAGAAAGTGATGGTATTATTTTGGTATTTCAGTTCCTGGAGAATTAATGGCTCCAATTCTGGAAGAAAACAAACCAAAACACAAGTGCAGCCCTTTTTTAAAAAGGGATTTAAGTTGAATAAAATCCATAATTTATCAGGCAGCCTAAATATCATCATTATGGTGCTGTGTTTTCACATTTCCCTCGATTTTCTTTGAGGCAATGGCTACTTCAAAGTCCTGTAGATAACCTGATCAATAAACAACAGTTTTTGAGCACTCCTTCCCTTGGCATCCCTTGGACCAGGACAGACTGATTTTGCTAGACACTTATTTTTTAGTTCCTGAAATTCAGTTATCCAGACAGACTTTGTTTAGATGTGGTTTAAACTGTGCTGATACTAGCTACTCCCCTGGACCTAAAGGCATTACCTTAGCTCTACTAATGCACCTTTCAACACTGTACTAGTCCTGATGGTTAGTTATTTGACGCACCTTGTGAGAAGTGCCACCTCTCACAGGAGGTGCTGGCCTTTCCCTTCAGTCCCTTCTCAGACACCAAAAGCCAGACAGGTAATTCCCTCCTCAGCAAGCAGAGTAACTTCTTATCTGGTTTCCTGGCAGCTGTGTTTTACCTAGCTTGTAAGATGATATCTGTCTAAGACAGCAGGTGAGGACCAGCAATGGTCAGCAGTGATGCCTTTGCAGCCCCTGGCAGCACCAACTCTGCCTCCCAGTTTCTGTGACTGATCTTCAGCCCCTTGTAGAAATTACCCACTCTTGGCAATGCTGTGGCAAACCACCATGTTGTTGTGCTCAGACCTTGGTGACTGAAATTACGTGCTGGTGGAATGTTGTTTCCAGGCATTTTCAGTCATGCTAAGGGCTTAGCAAAATACTGAGACCTGCTGAAGTGAACGCTAATAAAGAAGTGTTTTTCAGGAGCTGGGCTGAGATACCAAAGTAGCTTGTCATCCCCACTTCCTTTGTGTATACAGCACCAACCAGCTCAGACCTTCCAAATAATTTCTAGTTATTCTATTTGGAAATTTTAGGGTTTATGTACTAAAATTTTCCTTTGATTCTATAGTTTTTTGTTGGTTTTTATGCCCTTTCAAGAGAAAAGTTTCTTATTGAGAATCAGTAACACAACTTCTAGAATTCCTGAAGCCATCCTTTCCTCTAGCAGTCAGTATGATAGATTTATTTTAATGACAGCAGTCAGCAGAAATTTTATTTTACTGTTTTTTATATTCCTATTAGACATGACACCCATATCTAAAGGTATCTCTTCCTATTTCCATCACGTGTTTTGGCTTAAGAAGAACAAGCCCTGACACCACTCAACTTACTCTCTGCTAGATATTAAGCCTATAGACAAAATAAAAATCCATACAAATTTTATCAGGAATACAAGAAGAAGCTCTTGATAGAACGTGTAAGTAAATAAAGTTTTCCTACGATCATCAACAAGGTAGTTTACCTCCAGGAACACTTTGCTAAGACATGGTACAGGAATTCATGCAGCTACAAAGCCCTGTCCTTCCTATCGTACATAGATTGTTTGCTTCAAGAGTCTCAGATTCTAAAGCTCCAGTTTTCAGTGAGGAGTACATTCAGAATGTACATAATACAAATTATGTTTGTATTTTTTTAACATAAAAAACCCTCTGCCCCCGTATTCTAGTGAACAATTTTTCTTTCTTGCTAATAATTATATATTGTTGATCTAGAATGTGGTTACATAAAATAAAATTAGGAAAATATTAATGAGATGAGATTAAAACAAAATTGCTTCTGATGCACTGGGCGCAGCTGCTTGGTTACATTCCCAGTCTACCCACCTATCTTGCACTTGAACCCTTTTCTGTCTCTGGTGACAGAAAAGGCAGCAGAGAAATGCCCATACAACTAAGACAGAGCCATAGTTCACACTTCTGCTGGGCTTAGTGCTAAATTAAACAGTCATCAATTACATTTTTATCATTCATCTCACAATTGTGTTTTTATTTTTTAAGCATCACCTTTGAGGACTGTGGGGCTCTCAGTTGTCCTTTCATTATTCAGGAACTAACATTCCAGGAATAAACTGGAAAATCTGAAACCTCAAGACTCAAAAATGAAAAAAAAAAAACAATACATGGGGTAAAAAAAAAAAAAAAAAGGCTTATGATTAGAGTCCTTATCATGATTTTGGGTTGATTCACAGGCACTGAACCTGTGAAACTGGCTTCACTGAACACTCTGTACTAGCAATTTAAGATGACATATATCAGTTAGAAGTAATTTTTGGAATCCAAAGGGGCAGCAATTTAAAAGCTACTGCTGCAAACAAGCCATATCCATAAAGTGAAAAAAAAAAAAAAAGAAAAAAAAGAAAAAACAAACCCAAAACCCCAGAAAGCACTGGAACTCTTTTTAAAATGTTTGGACAACATGACAGTGCCTGGAAATTCATGAGGTCTACATGCAAGATTTTTGCACCACTGTAATCTAATCATGTGCTATCCTTGGATTTTTTTTGTACCAGAATAGGTCATTCCTCTGTGCTGTGCTAGAATGAAGCAGAGCTTTCAGCAAGCTATGGCGTGGTTTAGTTTTACTAGTGCAATGCATCAACCCTAGGGCTGGCATCCTAGTGAGGACAAGAACTGTGCTTTCATACAAAGAGGACTAGTTCCCCCTCCAGTCTGTTCAAAATATTGTTCAGTGCTTCGAGCACGCCCTGGCTACAGCCCCTATTTTTCCTCACAGTAACCAACACAAACAATACAAAGTGTAAGTCAGTATGCTCAGTGTTTGGTGATTTGATTCCACATCACAGAAACTACTCTGTATTGTTAACAAGAATTGCCACCTTTCGATTTACTAGCATTCCTTGTCCTCAGGCTGCCATTCGCCTTTGTGCTTTGGAGAGCTGGCCACAAAAGCCCAGTGAGCTGCTCGGCATCTGCCCCACGTCATTCCTCAAAGCTTGGCTCTGCTGTGGGGAACACCTGGCCTGCCACTGCTTACAGTAGGCTGCCAGCAGTGAGCCAGAAATCATTTCCTGTATGTACAACACAACTGGCTTGCTGCACCCCAAAACTCTTATCTTCTCAGTCTGCCAGTTCCAGCATTGGTGTTCATGATTTTAAACCTGCAGGCCAGGGGCTAGACAGGAGTGAACTCATTTTAAAGGACCTTATTATAATGTGTTCACCACTGAGACCCCAAGCATATCACAGCTAAGCATCACCTTGGCTAAAAATGCCCCCAGTAGAAAGTTAATATAGCAGATTAGAGCATTTCTTACTGTGACAAAAGTTACTCTCTGCCACAGCTATCTCATCTCAAGGTAGAGCTAGACAACGACTGTAAGAGAACAGATTCAACAGAATTGAAAGCATTCCCAGAAATACGGTTCTTTCACAGGCACTTCTCATAGGAAAACCTCTTCAACTTCAGGGTGGCAGATCCTAGCAAGACGGATGACAAGCACAGAAAAACTGTGATTATGATGCATACCTGGAATACAAGAGCTCTTCTGAGATGGGAACCAGAGGGTGGTCGTCATGTGATGTGAAAAACTTCCAACAATCTGCTACACTTTGGCACGGCATGGGGAAAAATTTTACATAACAAAAGCTTTTGTTCTGTTTTTCATGAGAAAACTCGCCCCATTTCTATACTAAATCTTACATTAAAAATGAGGAGAGAGAATTGAAGACATGGAGAAAGAAAACCCACCTCTTCCATGGAGAGAACAACATACCAAGTATTTGCGCTACCAAGGAACCATCCCTTTCTGGCTCAGGTTCTCAGTGTCTTCCTTATCTTAATGACTGTCCTACTCATTTCTGCCAGCATGCTAATGATAAAGCTAAGCGTGTAACACTGGGAGTTTAGATGCAACAAAATAAGCTGGTTGATGCTCCAGAGTTTATGAGAAGGGACAGAGCATAGTGACAGTACTACAGAACAGATAAGGCATGAAGAAAACAAGACAATTATTTCATATTGTTTCTGTTTTGGCCTGGGCAGGGCTACATTACAGCAAGTCTTGACAATCCGCCTTGTTCAAACACATGTCTATTTGCTTTAATTAAAAAGTAAGCTAGGGAAAGAGTTAAAGTTGACTGAGGATGATGCCCTTGCTTCTCTCTTTACTCTCCCCTATTACTCTCATCTGGGTTATTTTTTCTCTTAAACAGTTTATGTTTAGGCTAAGGAACAGGTACCCAGGGTTTCTGACCCTTCTTCCAATTTGGAGGACTGCTGTAACAGAAAAGACAATGTCCTATGCTAACACCTAACTACAGGAATTCAGCAGGCAGCCTCTAAACCACTAACCTCAACCTAATCCAGCTATTCCTTTGAGCAGCACCCTAAAGGCAAAGCAGGGATATGCTTCCTCACCGATACATGTGCATTTATCTGAGTATTACCTGGGAAATTGTATAGGTTCCTAAGATCACTGTTTCCTGAAAAACAGTAGCAAATCCATACATACAAAGATTGGGAGATTGTTGTGCAATTTGATTTACTTTATTGAGTAATAGTCTGATAACTACAATGGTGAATTAGAAAAAAAAAAAAAAAAAAGCCCCAACCCCATAAAAAACCCCAAACATACTTCCCCACATTTTGGGAAACAAGCTGAAGAAATTCTACACTGTAGAAGACAGCTGTAACTGCTGATATCCATGTTTTGACATTGGAACTGAGTAACTTCAAGTCTGCAGCATACAGTCCTAAAGCCTCAAGCAAAACAGGCTTACTAGTAATAACACGGATATATCATCACTGGGAAGATGTTAACCATGTTGAAAATTCTGGGATACCAATCTGGTATAATCCACAACATACTGGGTTCCTATGAAAGATGTGGCATTTCTCCTTAAGGTCAGCTTTTAGAGAACTTTGAAAAACTATGTTTTGAACTTCTTACTTGCAGTGTTTCTTTGCTTGCAGAAAAGCATGAGAATTATAGTTCAATAAAGACTGAATATAAGATCAATTTTTTGACTGGATTTGATTAATTGCATAACTTTGGCAAGATTACCACTGCATGATCCAGTTAAGCTTTCAGGATTATATGAACACCAGCACCAAATTAATCATGGAATCAGACAACTGAGATGCTTATGCACTCTCATACATCTTTGACCACTTCTGCAGTCTCTCCCAGCCCCACTACTTCGGTTAGCATTTGATAATTTGTGCAGTATTTTATGCCATTGACAAAGCAACATGATCTGGACAGATTCCTGGCTTCTCTTTCCTTGCAAGAATAGCATGCCACCTTGTTGAACCCCCGAGGATGCAAGCTGAGATTATTCTACATAAAGTCTCCCTTTGTGGCATCTGAAATTAAAACCTTTCCCCCAGAACTGCCACTGTTTTGATAGTGAATTCCATGCTGATTTGTTCAACTGGTTACTCAGTTCTTTGGCTGATTTTAAGAATTGCATTTAAAAGTTACTCTACATTACAGGCATTTAGAAAATATATTTATACCTGGTACTGGTACTCTTTCAAGTACTCTTTTAGTCTTGTTGGCAATGGCAGCTCCCAGATCTGATTTGTGCATTTGTTTATAGTTATTCTGCAGCGGTGTTGCAGAGATGGAGTGGACGTATAGAGAGGTTTGTTCAAGTAAAGATGAACTGTTCCATTTGAAGGTGTTTCTGTTCTGTTCTTGCACATAAGAACATAGTACTCAATCAAATGCACAACGCTGTTGAACTGCTTAAGTCTAGATCTGACACACGTGATAGAGTCCAGTCTAAACTTGCCATCTTGATATTCTATACGTAGATTGGTCGGTCCCGCTGATGTTTTTACCGAAATAGTCAATAGATACTCTGAATGTGAACTATCCCTAACCAAGAAGGTCCCTTCGGGAGCATCCTGTAATCTCTCTTTAGCTTCAGCAACAGTCATGTTGCCCCAGTACCATCCTGTTAAAAAAGAAGAGATAGAAGGGTTTGGTTTTGTTCATTAGTGTTTGTTTGTTTTAAAAGCTACTCTTTGGCTGATATACTTCTAATAACCCATTTCCTTTGTTGTTTGAAAGTCCTGCAGGCATTCTACATTTTTATTTGCGATTTAAATTCATTTGCTTCACAATGCGTCTCGGTTTGACAGAGCCTTCCAGATCACTGTTCATTTTCCTATCTATACATACACGCGCACAAACTTCCCTAGAGCTTCCAGAGAGGCTAACATCGAAGGTGCAGACATCACGGGCTGCCCGTAAGCTAGCAGAGACGGGTCCCGCGACTCCCCGCTGGGCACACGCCGCGGCGAGCGTGGCGTCCTCACTGCATACGCTGGCAGCCCGCAGAAAGCCAGCTTTGGAAACTCTAGGTAGTCTGTTGTTGAAATGTGCTTTGTCTAGCAATCGGAAGCAGAGAGCTGAGGAAACAACTTCGGCGGTGCAGTTGCGGTCCTAGCAGGGAGCAGGGGAGGCAATGAAGACCAGAAAGCCACTTCATCCGCCCGCGGCCAAGTCCCGAGTCGTGCGGGGCTGGACGAGCCGCCGCCACGCCGGCGAGCAGAGCGCAGGTACGCGGCGGCGAGGGGATGCGGCGGCGCCACCGCCAGCCCGGCACACTGCGGGAGCCCCGGCCGGCAGCAGCGCCCGGCCCTAGCCCGGCCGGCGATCCCGGGCTGCCGCCGGGGCGCGGCGCTGCCGGCGCTTTCGCTTCGGCCGCCGCAGCCCGCGGAAGGTCGGAGCCGCCGCCGCCTCCCCTCGCCTCCGCGGTGCTGCGATCCCGCAGCTCTGGGCGGTGCTGGCAAGCGTCGCCCCACGGTCCGCTTCCCCTCTCGGCCCGGCGGGGCAACCCGCCGCCCCGCTCCGCCTTCCCCGGGTCGGTGGCGCGGCGGGAGGCAGCGAGTCGGACACCCCGGCGACTGTCGCTTCCTCCGGCCGCCCCCCACCCCCGAAGCCGGCAGACCCGGCTTACCTGCCCGCCGCAGCTCCTCCATAGCGGCGGCCAGCTGCGCCGCCTCACAGAACTCTTCGGCAACAGGCGCCGCCGTCCCGGGGTGTCCCCAGTGCGCCCGGGAGCCCTCCGTGCTCTCCAGGGACTCGGCGGAGCGCAGGGTCATGAAGGGCGGCGGCGGCGGGCGCGGCCCCGCTCGCACGCAGGTCGGGGGCTGCCTGCAGGGAAAAGACTCCGCTTCGCCGCCACCGCCGCGGTGCTCAACGCCGCGACGGGTGCATGGCCCCGGCCCCCGGCCCGGGCGCCGCCTGGGAGCAGAGAAAGCGTGGTTAGCGGCGAGCCCCGCGAGAGGCGCTCCCAACGCAGCCTGTGCGTTTCTAGCGCTCCCTCTTCGGAACTTCCCAGCATCCAGAGGAGGGACCCGAGGCGAGATATCACCTCCCGGCGGAGCGGGGGAGGGACATCTCCTCCCCCCGACGCCCAGCCTGTCCCCGACTCCCCTCCGCCGGGGACGAGGCGGCAGACCGCGAAGGTGGTCTCGCTCTATAGCAAGGGCAAACCCGCTGATGCGCCGCTCCCTCTGCAGGGGTAGGCGAAGCCGGGCGGCAGCGCTGGAGGGGGGGCGTTTGAAGAGGTAGGAAGTCGTGGGACTTTACGCTGGGCACGTAAAGGTATGAGCAGGATTGGTGTGGGGGGAGGAGTAACGGGGAGCGGGACAGGTCCCAGACCCGGCGCTGCCCGGCTTGCACGCTGCGACGCGCAGGAACAGATCGGTCCGCCTTTCACTAAGGTCCCACGCGAAGCCGTACCTCTAGGAACGGGAGCAAGGTGCGGTCCGCGTTGCCGGGGCGGGAGTGAGTCCCTCCCGGACAGCGGGGCGCCCGGGGGCCTGGTACGCGGGCAGAGCCGGGGATCGCTGGCCGCTCGGGTACGGGAAGGGGCAGCGCGGTGGAGGACGTGATATATATATATATATAGTGCGGGGCAGGAAACATGCTTTTTCCGTTCCATTAAATGCTGCCGGAGTTACAAAAAAAAAAATTATCTTTCCGCTGAGCTGAAGCGAGCGGGGGGAAGGGAGGGCGAAAAGAGCCTCTGGCTCTCCCACCGTCACACCGGGAGCGACATGGAGCCTGGCAGCCGCAGCGAGGGGAGCCCTGCCGGTTTGCCCGGGGGCGAGAGGGAGCTCTCGGGAGAGGCTGGGCTCCCAGAGGTGCCTGCGGGCCGGGCAGAAGCTGTGTCCCGCGGTGCGCAGCAACCGCCGCCAGGTGAGGGGCTATGCCAAGGTGGCACCTCCCGTCACAAGTTTCCGCGGCGGAGCTCGCTAACTTCCAAATGAAACTTCAGCGGCAGCTGATGGGTGGCTCTGCCGGGTTTCTATCGCAATACAGGCAGGCACAAGCACGTCAACCCCCGCAAAGCCCATCCCCGACCCTCCTGCCGCCAGCTCGGGGTCCTGGCGCAGGTGCGCCTGTCGCCGGAGCTGCTGCGGGCGCGGGGCTGCCGGCCGCAAACCCCGAGCGCAGGTGGGAGCAGCTTTGCAGCGGGTGCCCGGGTGCGACCCCTTGCGAAGGGGAAGCGCGGGAGCGCCCAGTCGCCGGTGCTCGGCGGGGACGGAGGGTTTGCGAGACCGTGGTGGTTAGCTGCGACGGGGTGTCTCCCGGCAGGGATGAGGAGCGCCGGAGCAGCTTGCCTCCGGCTCCGGAGGAGCCTGCATCCCGCCTGCCCGGGAGCGGGGCGGCAGGCTCCCTGCTCTCGAGGAGCGGCAGGACACCGGGCGCAGGGCGGAAGAAGGACAGCGGGACTCACCCAGGCTCGGCCGGACAGGGTTGGGGCCGCCGCTGTCTCCGCCTGGAGGTGGGGTGCTCAGGTTGTTGTCGCTGCCGGCGGCAGCGGGGAGCACAGCACCCGCCGCTGAGGAGAAGCGTCGAGGCTGTGCTGAGGCAGACAGTCTGCTGGAGGAGGAGGATGGTGCTCCTGGGGAAACAACACCCTCCGCTCCCCCCCTCTCCCCGGCGCGGGCGGTCTGTTCTCCTTTGATTGCGAGGCGAGGGCATCCTGCCCCCGCCGCTCCCCCCGCCCGGGATGGCTACATACAAAGGCTGCTTTCCAGGAACTTTCCAGGAACCGCATCATGTGACAGGACCCGCTCCGGCGCCTCCACCGCGACTCGCGGCCAGCCGAGGGCCGACGCACCGACAGCCGCCGCCCCTTGTCACGCCGGGGCAAGCAGTCGCCTAAAACCTTCTCCCCCTCACCTCCCAGTCCCCGCGGGCCCAACCCTCCGCCCAACGAGGGCGGCAGACGCGCGGCGAACCAGGTCAGTGGCTGAGGGCCGCTGAGGTACCGGCGAACGGGAGGCCGCTGAAGGAGCCCGCCGGAGGGGCCGTGTCTCAGGGGGTGAGACGCGGCTCCGCCGGCGGGCTCCCCAACGGCCGCCCGCGAGCGGGCCGCGCGGCACCTCCTGAGGTAACCATGCGAGCGCGGGAACGCGTGTCCTATATTTCTCCCCCCCCCCCCCCCCTCCTTCTCCTCCTCAGTGATGGCGGGGTTGAAGGCGAAGGTGGGAGGGGGGACGGGGAACGAGACCCTGCCTTGCCCTGCGCCGGCAGCCGCGGGCACCTGAGCTCGGCAGCAGTGGCGGGGCCCGCCCTTGGGGCAGGGAGCGAGGCAGAGGAGGGGAGAGAGGGCCGGTGCCAAGAGCTCCGTGCCAGGGGCTTGCGGCGGCCGAAGCTCCTGGGACACCCCACCCTGCTCTCCACCCCCCTTCACCCTCCGGCGCTAAATACCTCGTTGCTACAAACAGCCATTACCCGACGATGCGCGCGCCGCTCCTTCCCCCCCATTTTCCCTCCTTCCCTCCCCCCCCCCCCCCCGCGATTTTTCAATTTATTTATATATTTATTTTTTTTATTAAATAAACCCAAAGTTGGTGTTTTTATTTTTTTTTATTGGCTTAAAGATGATTGATTGCACCATGGGTGCTGTTCGTTAACCAGCCGCCTCCCGCCGCTGCTTGCGCTGACTTAGAAAGACCTCCACACTGCCCCCCCCCCCCCCCCAGTATCTGTATATATAAATAGGAAAGAAAACAGGGAAACAAAACCAAAGTAGCCTTATTTGTCTCATCCTGGCTGCAGGTCAGGGCTCCCTGCAACGGAGATGTTTGGGAGAAGGGAGTATTTTTCAGGTTTGCCGGGAGGAGGAATAAAGGCTGTCTTTTTAAAGGTCTCTGGGGAAAAAATACTATAAAATAACACAACAAATAATCTCTTTAAAAATCGGTGTGTGTGTGTGTGTGTGGGAAGCCTTTGTTATCTAAGGGATAAATGAATATGTATTAGACTGGACGGTCTAGCTGAGGGAGCGGGGCAGCAGCGGCACGTCAGCTCCCTGCACAGGGAAAGCTCCCACAGGGACACTCCTGCCTTGGCCGCACTCCCCAGAAACTCCTGAAATTCAGTGTTTCTTTGAAAAATATAAAAAATAAACAAAACGGGGGACTATGGAGGACAGTTTCTGAAGGCTTTTGTAACAGCTATTACTTAGAATTTATAAACATCAGGGGGTGAGGGAAGAGTATTGGGAGTTAACAGTTCTCTTAAAAGAAACAAAAACTGTAGTAAGTAATTAAGCAGATTCATCTGAGGGGAAAAAATAATTTTATTAAGTGAATTGGTCAATATGGTTTAATCAGTTTGTAATGCTAAGGTGCTTTTGAATTTAATTATGAAAAAAACGTAGTTTCAATCACTGACAGCACAGCAGTTTTCAGATGAGGTCTGAGTAACAAACATGTTTTTTCTTACTTAAGCATTCTCAGAAATGGTTTAAAACAATTTAGGTCTTGAAGGTCATTCTTGTTCCTGTTTTCGTCTGTGTAATTCAGATAGTCTCAGATCAGCCTTCTGGAATCCCCACTAACTTTTCACTGCATAGATTTGAAGCAAGGAGAAAATATGTCTGTGTCCTTTGAAATTTAGTTTACAGTTCTGCTACTGACGATGTGAGACCTTGTATAAAATCTAATTTAATATTTTCAGAATTACACTGGCTTCACTATGTTCAGAAAAAAACAGCAGCAACAACAACAACAAAAAAGGAATATAAGTCGATTTTTATTACTAAAATAGTTCCAGATACATATATGCAGGCATAGAGCTTTTGCTCAAAAATAAGTTATTTTGATATGACAGTGTTCAAATTAGAGCTATTCCTTCAAAGTTCACTAATTCATCTTAGAGAAATGGAATGCATCTTTGTGCAGATGCAAAGTTGCCTTTTTACAGCTTTGCTGTAGTTCTCTTTTTCTATGTTATTTATTAATGGCATTTTTATGTGGATAGTATCTCAAGACTTCCTTTGCTTCTGCTGTTTATTCGTCACTTGAAGTCATAATAATTTGTTTCTAAAACCACAGCTGGCTACTGTGAAGGCAGAGAGGAAGACCGTGATTTATGTGGTGAATCAGTAACAAGAATAGAGGAATGTCATAAATTTTGTTACTTAAAACTTCAGATACTGTTATGAAAAAGGTAGCATAAAAACTAAATAGGCAGTATATCAGCAGGATCTTTCCTATACAGAGTTCTGTTAATTTATTTTGTTTTTTTCCTGAGAAGTTAATGCATTTTTAAAATAGTACTAAAGATCTGATAAATTTACAAGAACAATGAAATTCAAACTTAAAAATCGATCTTTAAATGACACTTTTGGCACCTCGTAAGAGTAGAATATTTAGGTTCACAGGTACCTTTATTCTCTGGTATAAGACTTCCCCAAGTGCTTGGTGGAGTAAGTTAGTATTTCACTGTTGCTTTCAACAATGATAGCTGGTTCTCTCTGTCTGTGTGAGTCTTTGACAGTCACAGAGGAGAAAAAAATAAATAATTTTTAAGGTTAAGAAAAGGTAATTAAATTATTTGTGGGATTATGGGTCACATGTGGTGCATGAAGCTACTTTAAACTACTTTTTAGCTTTTTTGTCATTAGGATGTTTAATACATGCTTGGTCTGCCTTAAGTGTTTAACTCTATAAAAAATTAGAATTGAGTAGGAGGGAGGTGTGAAATGGAGAAAGAAAAGAAGCACCAGACTGAAAACTTATCTTTCCATCAAGTAAATAAAAGAAGGTTTCTAATTGCCAACTAAAAAACAGTAATTCTTCTAAACAGAGCCACTGATATGAAAACTAGTTTATACAAATGGGGATTTAGAATTTGTAAGTACAGTTCAAAGCAAGTGCTTTATTTTTAGTCTGTATTTTGGGGTATTAGTTCTAGGACAAATATTGCCTGTATGTATATGGTTATGAATGCTTCTGAGCTAGTTCTAGAGGTGTATCATCCAACTGGACATGAAAGGCACAAACTTAAGGAATCTGTGATTTCTTTTCCAGATACTTTCTACTGTGCATGAACATTTTGGTTTGAGCAGGGTATCTTCCATTTAGTAGATATTTTAGTTGATACATGTGTTAGTAGTGAAAACATAAACGGTAAGAGTTCTTGAAAATCACAAGCAGAATAGATTATATTTCTGACTTGTTTTCAAACATACGTGGTCAAAAAGAGAAGGGGAGGGACGAGCAGATTTATTTATTTTTCCTTTAGGCAAAAACCTCTTTCATGACCAATGAAGGAGGCAACAACATTTTTACAGTAGTGTGGAGTGCCTGTTGCTAGAAATGATTTTCACTTTGTTCCTGAAAAGTATGCCAAATTCACTGGAGAGCTAGCATGCTGATTTATTTATGTAATATGACGTGAGCCGGGGGGGGGGGTGGGGGGGGGAATTCATTTTTGGCCCAGCTGATTTTGCTAAATTTGCTTTGGTCTGCTGAAGAGGTTTACTGGTTTCTTTAGCTAGATCTATCTAGCTACCTGAAAGAATACAAGGGGCCTTTCCTTGTTCTCTGCATCCCCACTTCCTGAAGATGCAGCACTGAATAGCCATTACCCATGGCATACCTTTTTGTCAGATAAAATTTGCTTTAGTTAAAAGTTCAACTATTGCTTATCACTTATCATTTATATCTATTTATTGACCATATTTTGACAACTGTTCACCTGAACTGAGCTAAATAACAGTGTGTAACTCCTCCCTGCCCTGTGACTGCAGTGGCCAGGCAGCATATTTGGTTCTCAAGCAGAGAAATATGACTATTTGAGCCTTTATCTCAAGCAAATTAGAACAAGTTAATTGTACCTCCACACCACAAACAAGGTCCACAGTGTGAGCCCTTAGAGAATTTCTCACTCAGTGGTTGGAAAAAAGGTTTGCTTATTTCACAAAGAGTTCCTAAAACAGAATAAATACAGCAGAGAGACAAGCTGCTCTTTCCAGCTGCCCGAGGAACAGAATGTTTTGATGAAATAAATAATGATGTATACCAAACAATTTTAACTAGCTGCCACCTTATTTCCTGCCATTTTTATCTACTGAGAGGTGAATGCTTTAAATTTCTTGAGAATATATGTTTGGTAAAGGAGAATAATCAAAAATTCAGTGGATAATAATTTCTATGAATCGATGTTCTAAAAGAAAACCAGCACTTGTGATTTAAAAGCAAACCATCAAGAGGTAGCACTAAG